ATCTATCTATCTATCTATCTATCTATCTATCTATCTATCTATCTATCTATCTATCTATCTATCTATCTATCTATCTATCTATCTATCTATCTATCTATCTATCTATCTATCTATCTATTAGTTTATAGATCACTGGACTTAGTAAGATCATTACTTGGGGCGGTTTACTTAACATAAAATAACCCATACAACTATGTGCCTTATTATCACCAATAGCACTCACAGGACAGTTCTGATAAGAGTCCCCTGGCGTTGTCTGCTAAGCTTCTGTTCAAAGATACTCTTTCTTCCACATTCAGCTAAATGTCAGTCCGTGATTCTGTAAAATGCAAATACTTTTAAAAGATTGAATACTTGGGGCGGTTTACTTAACATAAAATAACCCATACAACTATGTGCCTTATTATCACCAATAGCACTCACAGGACAGTTCTGATAAGAGTCCCCTGGCGTTGTCTGCTAAGCTTCTGTTCAAAGATACTCTTTCTTCCACATTCAGCTAAATGTCAGTCCGTGATTCTGTAAAATGCAAATACTTTTAAAAGATTGAAATTAAAATGAAATGCAGCTGTTGTCAGAAGATAAGAAGAAAAGTGACTTACTTGATCATAATTCACATTAAAGGCAGAACAGACATGAAGCATATTAAAAGTAACTAATTTTTAAAATTAGGATGCATATTATTGGATTTTTTAAATATAAGGTCTTAGAAAAACAGTTGGTCTGGATTGGAATAAGGATCACTTATCACTGAAACAGCCATCAGTTCTCTACCACCCTATATTGTAAATACTGTATAGTTAAACAAATGGATGAAGTGAATGGGTGAAGAGCAGAGAGGATCTCAGTGATTTCTTAGATTTCTCAGTGATGGATTAGAGGAAGTAATTTTTTTTTCTTTCTTCCAGAATTGGAAGGAAATTCTGCAATTACCACTGGCCTTGTGTAAGTAATTTCTTGTAGAATAACAGTAAATAATAAATCTTTTGGTGTGGATATGACATAACTTTGAAATGATAATCATTTGAGCTTTTTTTTCCCCCTTGTCGGTCATGTCTGCTTCCCACTCCCCACAGTAATCTGACAAAGTAAGAACAGAGCACTCTTAAGTGATGGCTCCTGCAGAGACTTACATGTGACTCTCTCTTTTCATCTCAGAGTTATTCTAGTTCAGGTTAGGGTTCATATAAAGGAAAGATTGTGATACATTTGTATGAGAGCTTCATGTATAATATCCATAATCATACCTCTTCAACATAGTAAACCACATCATTTCCTTCATCTAAATATCTGGAACAGAGGGCTGGATACGGGGGGTGATGATAAGTATTGAGCCTTTCCCAGAAAAAAATGAGCTAGGAAGCTATAAATTGCAGGGTGCATTGGCCACTTTGTCTGTATTCAATGGCGCAAAAATCAACTACCTATGCTTTTAATATCTTTTATGTTCAGGTCCAAAGTGAACATGGCAGCCCCTCCAGAAAAGTTCAATTGGAAGAGCATAGGACCATAATCAAGTTCCTGTTTCTCCAAAGGAAAGGTGCAAAGCAGATCCATGATGAAATGTCACAAACTATGGGTAACAGTGCCCTTCATATGCAACAGTTAAACATTGGGTTGTCAATTTTGAAACTGGCCATTTCAGTGTTGAAAGTGAGAAACCCAGTGGAAGGCCTTTTTCTGTCTCTGTGCCTGCAAATTTGAAAGCCATCCATGACATGTTCATGGAGGACCGTCGAATATCAGCCAAAAGTATTGCTATATATCTGAGAATATCACGTGAGACAGTTGGTGCCATTATCCACAACAACTTGGAAATGAGAAAGCTGGCAGCAAAAGTGGATTCCCAAACTTTGACAACCGAACCAAAGAGGAAACGTGTGGAGTCATGGGTGGCTGTTTTGGAACATTTTGCAAGAAATGAGTCAGATTTCCTGGACAAATTGGTAACTGGTATTGAGACATGGATCTACTGTTATGATCATGAGACAAAGGAACAGTCTAAGGGATGGAGGCACAGTGGTTCCCCCAGGCCAAAGAAGTTCCGAGTGCAAAGGTCGGTGAGGAAGCAAATGGCAACAGTTTTTGGGATAAGAAGGGAGTTCTGCTGGTGGACTACCTCCAACAGGATTCAACCACCAATGCAAAATATTACTGTGCTTTATTGATGAAGTTGAGGCAAAACATCAAAGAAAAATGTTGAGGAAAGCTCTCCAAAGGTGTCATCCTGTTGCATGACAACACCTCGTCAGACACAGCAGGTGAAACAATGGCAAAACTGATATACTTAGGCTTTCAAGTGATGCCCCATCCACCGTATTCTCCCAACCTGGCTCCTTCTGACTATTACCTGTTCCCCAAACTAAAAAAACACCTAAAGGGATAATGATTTGGGAGTGTTCTGGAGGCAACTAATGCTGCAAATGAGTGGTTACTTACACCAGCAGTCGGAAGAATTTTATTTGCGGGGACCTAAGGAGCTGCAGGACAGATGTCACAAGTGCATTGACTTCCTGGGGAAATATGTAGAATAGTGTGGCAGTTATAGCTTCCTAGCTCATTTTTTTCTGGGAAAGGCTCAATACTTACCAGCACCCCCTCCTATTCACTCTCTTTGCATCATTTGTATTTCACTGCCTTTTAATATATGTGTTCTCAGAAGACCAAATGTTTGTCTTGCTTGGCCTTTTTTGGGCACAGGTATGTTTTGTTTCAAAATAATAGTGCTTGACAACCCTTCAATGTAAAGAGAATTAAATATTGTGGACACCAAACTGAGGACTCTATACCAGATGCCAAGCATCCACCTCACCCCCTTGGAAAAGATTCCATGTCCCATTGAATTGATTCCATGTCTGTAGGAATAAGATTCTGTCTTTGATAACCGTTATGCATATAATCTGCTAAATGTAGAAAGTTGAACTTTTTGGCACTTCTCTATTAGTATCATTCTTTTCTTGTGACATGAATTGTGTATTGTCTCACATTTTATTAGTAATGAGCCAAAAGAGAGTTGTGAAAAATCTAAAACTCCAAGCAGAAGAAATTCAAGAACAGAGGAGTCTGCAGTAGTGCAGGAAACCATAGAGAACGGTCAGCGCAAGAGGTCTTCTAGACCAGCATCGGCATCCAGCATGGCAAAAGGTAGAATGTAGTCTTTGAAGCAAAGAAGCTGTTTCTGTATACAAGTTGAACCCAGTTATGTTGTGAGATTGAATTTAACATGCTGTCAAGCCACAGAAATAGGAATTAGAAAACTGAATCACTTTTGTCTTTGTTTTACCTTTCTTTTCTAAAATGCTTCATTCACCACTTTTTAACAAAGAAAATAGCTTCAGACATTGTGTAAAAATCTTTAATGGATGTCTGTTTAAAGGATCGAAGGCACTTCCCTGTATGAAGGGTAACACTTGCCTTCTCATCTGCAAAATGGGCTTGCAGAATCAACTCATTCAGCTTCATTTCTCAGACTTGCTACTATCACCAGCATGCATAAAATATATAATACTGCATCACACCCAAGAAACAGAACCACTGGTTCTACAGAGCAGGAGGTCACTAGCTGGTGGTCGAGTTCATTATTCATTTGCTTGTATTTTTCTTCATCTGAATTGAGTGAATAGATACTTACTCTTTTATGTAGGGAAAAGTAAGATGTGACACTTAAAAATAATGTGAAATTCTACGTTGTAACCTGTTGTCCAGCAGGAGGTACTCTGTTTGGAACTTTCAAGAAAACACTACCATACATACATTCTCCTTCTGTAGTTATGCTGTCCACCATAATAACAAACATCTTGCTTTTAACAAAAATGTTATATGTAGATACATTGTTTAAGAGTGATAATGCAGCTAAATCACTCAAGCTAAGGATGATTTAGCTGTACTGTTCTATCCAAGAAAGGATCATGCTATCCTGTTCACACTTGCCTGGGAGTAAGCCTGACAGTGCTGGCTATTTTTGAGTTAACATATATGGGATTACATTGTTAATTATTTAGAATTTATCCACTGTGCAAATTGCTACTGATTTTCCCCCTTACAGTATAGATGTGTAAGAAAATCAGTTCTGTGTGTAAATCTATATTTAATATGTAAGAAAACTTTCTGAAAATTTAGTAGAATATTGAGATAAAGTCTGGAATAGGCAATATGTTAATGACTAATATATTGTGACTCCTATTTATTTACTACTTGAATGGCTCACAAATAATTTTTCAAAACTGCTTTTTTCTCCACAGAAACAAATTCCAGTGCTATGCAGTCAAAAAGAAGAAAATCCAAATAAACTGTGGAGTCAGTATGCAAGGCTTGTAAATGTGTGAATTTTACCAGTAACAACTCAGAGCTGTGATTTCTTGATGTATATAAAAACAAAGCTCAACACAACAAAAACAATTCTGTACAGTAATTCATTTTGTTATTACCCTATTTCCAGTTAATACAAAGGGTTTTTTTTTGCTAAAGACCTAATGATGGGGAAGTCTGATTTTGTATAGGGTGCACTTAGCACACTAGATTTAGCATGTTGTAAAAAATCTGAGGAGATAACTGTAAATTTATTTCTACATTTTCACTTTTCATAGGACAAACTAGAGTACAGGGTTGTCATTTTTTAGTGATTAAATAATGTATTGTGCTGTTGGTCAAGTACTGTATGTGAATAGCAGTTATATACAGCCTGTTCTTGGAAATGTAAATAGTTTTATTATATAGTAGGTTTGATGTATTTGTTGTAGAAAAGGACCAGTGAAATGAAATGGGAGGATTTGTGAAATCTGGATTACCTAGTGCTCTAAATAAATGTCATTGACCTGTAGTTTGTATTGCATTATCATTTGGTATCAGTGTCTTTGTACATAGAAAGTAATTTACTGGGGATTCAGAAACAATGCCATGTGAGAGCTAGCATGAAAGAGGTTTATTATTTTCCAAGTGCCTAGCTGTGTTTTCTGACATCTGAGCGTTCAGCCTGGAGGTGGTGCATCATTTTGAAGAGGCACTTGTCCAGCAGGACGAGGCAAAGAGGCAGTCCAGAAACCAGTAATATCAGGGAGTTGGACAGGGGACAGATTGTATTTGTCTTCAGTGTGGAAGGGATTGTCACTCTCGAATTGGCATTCCGAGCCACACTAAACACTGTTCGAAGTCTTCCATTCAGAGCACGTTACCATAGTCTCTCGAGACTGAAGGATGCCTAATCTAAGCTGTGTTTTCCAAATAGTTATGGATAATCTGTCACTTGAAGAGAGAAATTTGTAAGTATTGATTATGTGCAATCCTACTATGAACTTTTTGCCTCCTTTAATTTGCAAATGAGACTACTCTGTTTTGGCTGTGGTGTTCAAGCTATACACACATTCTTCCTTTGTAAGTCTTATTTCTCTGAAAACATGTCTCTTGCATATTATCCTAATTTCAGCTCCGAGAGTTTATATAGTTTGGCTCCCATACAGAAAAGCACTGCTGTTTCCATAACCCAATAAGTCATTTTTTTCAATACTTTGAGAATTTAGACAAAGTCTTGAGTGTTCTAACTAACAGTAGCTCAGATCTCTTTGAATCTTTTGCCACACAGCAGCTACATTTCAACTTCCATTTCTATCCAGGGACACTCAGGTGTCTTGCAAGAATAATGCCACTACAAGCAAGTCATTTGTCCAGTAAATGGAGGCTGAGGACAATGAGGCTATGTAGTGCAGAAGTCAGCTTCTGAGTCATACAATCTTTTCAGAAGAATTGGGAGTCTGGCAGGTCCCAAACTTCTTGTCTTGTGAGAACCTTAGAGCAAATATTTTGAGAATGGGCTCTGAGGACCTCACAGAGGGAGGTATTTCAGGCCTGGTGAGTTATGAAGAATCATATGCCTCGTTTCTGTTGCATCAGGAAAACAGCTGACCTAGCTTTCCAAAAGGTACCATGCTCTGGGGAATGGGCTTTGCTACTTCCCAAATGCAGCAGTTGCCACCCCATGAAAGCAACCATTAGGGTTTTCTAGAGCAGCAGGAAGGGACATGCTTCATTGGGTAGGGAATCCATTGAGCTGGAGGGCTTCCTTTTTTCTTATAAGAGTGCCAGTCCTGGGACTTGACTAAGTAAATGTTCGAGCAAAGATTTAAGAATGTGCATCCGTCCATTATTTAATAAGTTGTATTCTGTTTCTTTGGCCACACTTTAAGTATCTGTTTGGTGTACATGAAAACCATACACCAACTAACCTGTATGATCAGCTTCCTCTTACTCAGTTTGTGAAGGTGAGCAACCCATTTACCAAAACTACTGAACAAGAAGACTTGTCTTGTGACATTTTGACATCAGAGAAGAGCTCATATCCAAGTGCTTCCATGCTATATTAGTTTGTAAAGACACCTGATTTCTCACCCAGATGTTTTAACAGTTTACTGTGAACACTGATACAGGTTTTCACAAATCCAGCATTTTGAATTGTGGTTGCCTTCTCAATTAGGTGATCCATTAGTGGACTCAGTCTGAATTTCTGAGTAGACAAGAATAAGATTCTGCTGGACAGAGCTTACATCACTGTAATATCCCATAAAAGTGTTATTTATTTCTTTTAAGAACCCCATTAAATTGCACATTTTGGTTTAAATATATGTAAATTTTTATTTTTTCCTGTTGTATTAGTTTTTCTCCCCCAAATGACAGCATCACAGGCACGCTACAAAACACTTCTCAGGCAGTTGTGTCTTTTTCTTTGTGAATATGTTGCAGTTTGCCTAAGCATTACCTATGAGCAAGGGATTGGCAGATAACACACAAGAACACATTTTATTTAAACTAGGTTTACCTTTTACAATATAAGTAAAGGGAAAAAGGATTGGTGGGTGGAGAGATTTTTGATCATTGTTGTAAAGCATGCAAGAGATCAATGCAAGATAATTTGTGCTCTAAAATTATATATTCCATTTAATCAGAAAAAAATTGAGAAAGAATTGTTAAGGATGTATCTGCCTTGAACTTTTTTGGGTTTGTGCTGTCTTCGTATGCATATTCTAAAGAGAAAAAAATATTATTATTGAATGTGGTATTGTTACAAAAGAAAGGAAAAGCAGAACATGTTGTAACTATAACAGAAGATGGATACCATTCAAATATGGTTTTAAATAGGTTTTAAGGCAACCTTTCCAAATCAAAACACGCCATTTTGGCAAAATGCTGGTGATAAGCATGACATTCTTATACTTTCTCAAGTACGATTTGGGATTGTAGTTAGGATTCTTCCAAATGTGTGAGGGAAATTGGTGACCAAACCAATTCTTCTTTTCATTTTATTCCATTAGGTTTCCATATGTACATTGTCATAATGTCGTTTTGTGATATTGTACGGAGGTAGCTTTGATCTTTAGTGTACATGTTGGTATACTGAATAAACTGAGGGTACAATCAGGACAGTTTTTGAACATGTAGATTCACGTGCCTTCAGTAACTGTACAGAGGTGATATTCATATTGTCATGTCAATTTATGCCTGTTAAAATCCCCTCATTTCCACTGAAACTACAGAAGACCAAATCATCATCATAATTATCATCATCATCTTAGTACTGTAGAGTTGGAAGGGACCCTATGAATTATCGAGTCTAGCCCCTGTCAAGGAAGCACAGTGGGGAATCAGACTCCCAGACTTTAGCTCTGCAGCCACATGCCTAAACCACTGAACTATGTTGAAAAGTTGAGTATCCATTCTGTTTGGTTTTCTCTGTTTGATTCTTACTGTGAAAATAATGGGGAACAGGCAGCAGAACAAAAGCAACTTGTAAGTGGCCCTTGTTCACATGCATACAATATGACAAGTATTGTTCAAAGCAAGCCTTCATTATGTGTTTTAAATTTCTAGCCTGAAATGTTAAAATCACTGCAAATGCATTTGTTGAATTTCATCTCGTCAGGTTTTGCTTTTCATTTTGTGCACATTTTCCTGACTGCTATTGGTATGCCAAAATATTGAAAGGAGGTGGGCAAGGAATATGAAAGCCTTGCAAGTCAAATAAAAGCATGAAGAAGTGTTATGTGTTCAGATGTAATATGAGCAAAATAACTGGTTATTCTATAGATACTGTGCTACTCAAAGGCTATTTGTTTTAAGTTACGATATAATAGAAGAAAGTGACATGATGGCTGCCGCACAAATGTGTTCTCATTGTGTAGAAAAAAATAAGTGTGGGAAGTATGAAAATATGAGTGTCCATTTGGGCTACAAAATGAATGTGCTGGAAACATCAAAAAAGAAATGTTAATAACAAATAATCTTCAAGTGTATTTTAACAGCAGATACTCTTTCAGCTTTATCTTCCCAACATTTCTCTGGCAATATAAAATTAAGCCTTCAGTCACCTTTTTGTCCTTTCCCCAAGGTCTTGTACCCAGTTTGTACATTGTTCCCTAGGCAACAAACAGAATTTTCTCAGTTTACAGTAATGAATGGCAAAGGATAATTATTATTGGGATGGATCCATACTCATGAAAGTACTGAGTTGTAAAGTGCCATTTTGATTTCATTTATGCATACACTGCTATTACCAACTGTATTGCAGCCAATGTTTCCTCTTATTTTTAGCCCCGCTGGGTGGGGCTCCATCCCTTGCATGCCCAACTCACCCCACCTGCATGGGGTTCCACTGCAATGGAACCAAAGGGGCTGGAAATGCTATGGATGCACATAGGAAGAGGAACGCTGTGCGGAGAGGGGTGTAGTGCTGCACACCCGCACAGCTTATTGGGAACCTTGATGGTAGCACAAACATTTTGTCTGAAGAAGTGGATTTGTCCATGAAAGCTCACATTAAAACAGAGCAGTTAATCTGTAAGGTGCCACAATGTTCTTCAACATGTTCTCTATGAATCCACACCAGTGGGTTAAACAGCGCCTGCACTGGTCCTCTCGGAATCTTCCAGAGCTATAGGGGAAAAGTAACAAAGTTTAGGTTGCCCTGTACAGCGCATGCTCTGCCCGCCAAACCTCAGTTCCATTTTTCCGCCCGTGGAGTTGGAACCTCTCGTTCAGAGCTCCTTCAGACTTTACATTTCTGCGTGTTTTATTGGACTTGGACTTCGTTTTTTCGACCATCCAATCTCTGTTGCCCTGATCATGGAACATTTGACTTCTCTTCTGCCTCTGGCGACCTTGCAAGTACTTAATTGGTTTCAATTGTGGCCTATTTACCCCCTGTTGAGGCGCCACGCGCCTCCTGGACTGCTTCAGTTACCGCCTCATCAGCTTGTTTTCCCACGCTATTCAGCCTATTTCACCTAAAAGAGGGCCATTTAGCCGCTGTTCTTCGTGTTCAAGAAAGCTTCCCTTTTCTGATGGACATTCTCTTTGTGTTTTCTGCCTGGGAGAGACTCATTCAGCTAGCCGTTGTAAACACTGCAAAGAATTTACAAAGGCCACCTTGAAAGCTCGCCAGCAATGTCTTAAATATTTTTTGTGGAGTCAGACTTTGCTTCACAACCCTCAGACATGGAGTCTACCCAATCTACATCCTCAGTACGTTCTGAGGTCCGACTTGTCTCTTCATCCCCTCCTCAGACTGCGTTTCTCACCTCCTCCTCAGACTGCTAAGGAGAAGCCTAAGAAGAAGGCTACCTCTAAGAAACCTCAGCCGGCTTCTTCTGCTCCTTCGACTTCGTTGGAACCGAAACAGAAAAAGGCACCAGCAAAGCCCAAGGCATAGGCACGGATATGACTCCGATGCCAAAAAACATAAGAAACATCGATGTCGAAGGGACACTTTGGTCTCTGACTCCGACTATGGTGTGCAGCGCAGGAGATCACGCCATCGACACCATAGGAGGGATT